ATCTGCCACACAAAATATTGATGAAAGACAATGAATCAGCAGTCCCCTCCTCTGTCTAACTGGATCCCTGGGGAATTTAGTTTTCAAAGGGGTCTCTGTTTTAACACAGTAACAGCCATTGACCTGAATGAGTCATCTGTTATTTTGTGAAAAAGCATAAATCCGTTTTTAGATGGTGTCGTGTGGTGGATCAGTGCTCTTTAAATACATAGACATAATAGTAAGACTGACAGAATGACTCAACTTGTGCCTTACAAATTTATTTTGGCTTGGTTAAAAACCAAAATAGGATTAGAGTGAACACATTTAAAACAGACCCGGCAGTATTTTCTCGACACACATAGATGAGAGACTGTGCTATTCATTGGCTAAATGTCTTTTTAAATAACGATGTAATATCCCCCCCAACTGAGGTTAACAGCCTGGGCCAATTTTTTTTTTTAACTACTCCAGTCTCTGCTCTTTATTTTACATGTTCTCTGTCATCCTGTTGGGAGGAAAAGAAAAACTTACCTGTTCTACTTTGATGTCAAAATCACCGTGGACCTTTCTTCCCTTGAAGACCTTTACCCTGCATGTGAAACGAGGAATTCAATCCAAATGTTGTTTGAATCCAGACAAATGGCTATCAGTTGAACAGTTCTCTTAAAATAGCTCATTTGCTCAAAACTAAAAAACTGTATTAAAAAAATCAAACCAAAACATCAGCTGACATCAATGGAGCATAGTGTCACTTAAAACTGATACTGGTTTACAGTATAATTGCTGCAAAGGCACAATGCAACATAAACACAAGGAAGCCAAGAAGTAAGCAGTCATTATACCTACCTGGAACAAAAGTAAATGCGAATTTGACCTAACAATGGTTCTTGCATTTAAAATGCACCTAAACACATCCAATGGCTGTTATTACTGTAGAGAGGGGGAGCACCACTTTGGGTCTGTAATGTTGGACTGGAGGGTTCTGTTGTCTTGGTGCATAGATCCATTGTGTTTATGATCCCCTAAGTAAAGCTCTAATAAGCAAGCAAAATTATTTGCACTAATGGAGAGGCTGGGTTAAACGTGGTGCATGCATATTTCCTGTGCACTGTCCTTACATGCACTGTGTGAAAACACCTGCATCATCATGGTGGCAACAGCCCACCCAGTGCGCTGGTATCATCTTGGGCATTTAACAGGCAGAATGGATAAATACTTGGGCTCATGCAACAGCCGATCGTCTAATGAAAATGGCTTCTCTGCCTGCAATCTGTTGCGCTTTTTCCATGGCACAATTTCCCATAAGCAAGGTGTTTCTGATCTGAACAAGACGCCAGCAGGCTGCTACACGTGATATACCTCACTGAGTGAATCATATGACCTTCTCGATGTTAGGCCACTGCAGCCCACAGTCTGGCACACATTTCAGTCTAGACGATGCACGGAGCTGGCACTGCGCACTGCTCTTACCAGTCGGTCTGCTGGTCATCGATAACCAAGAGGATCTTTGCGCTGCTGGAGACCCCTGCGCGGTCCGCTGCCTCGGATAAGGTCGCGGCAGCTGCAGCCGTGGTCTGTTTGACAGCGTTGGAGATGGAGGAGAAGAAGCTGGAGCCGGAGCCGGAGCCAGAGCCTAAGCCTGGGCCTGAGCCTGCACCTGCACCTCCTACAGGCGGCTGCTGGCTGGTGGACTGGCGCCTCTCCGTCGGCCCAGGCGACACTGCGGGGCTCTGCTGCGGCGGGTCGGGGCGTTGAAGATCCGTCATGTAGCCATTGGGCAGGTTGGACATGAAATTACTGTCCGAGAGTCGTCGACGCAGGTAGTTCATGATGGAGACTTAATAAAATGACGGAAAGGGGTGTCCAATTATCCTCCAAGAGGATGCAGATTACAACTTGGTATTCAGAGAGAAAAAGGGATGACTAGGCTACTTTTCCATGGACAGAGGAGGGCTCAATGTTACCTAAAGAGAGACAACTTTGTGTTATCATCAATAATGTGCACATTTTTGAATCTGATGAACAGTAGTGGGGAATCGTGACTGATCAGCCAGAGGAACAAGATATGGTAACATTAAAGCCAAAAAAAAAAAAAATCACACGCCCCTGATAAAAGCTTAAAAATAAAGAGTCCTCGCGTCAAATTCAAGTCAAATGATGTTTACATTCATATCGAACTGAAATCGGATTTTTGTGAATAAACTCACCTTTCAAAACAACCACCAATCAGTATAGTAAATGTCATAGCAACCTACCTTGGAGTGTATCATCAACTGATCCGCCCCACAGCTGAAGTGATGATGCCTATTAGCCTATTATTACTCTATCTCACAGGAAAGACTTCACATAGGTGACTCTCGTGTCCTCGCACGCGGGCATTGGGCTTAAACCTGTGAAATCAAAGCTACAGTCCACCCTGCATCACCGCCGTTCATCTGTCCTTCCCCTGAAAGCCCCAGTTCTCTTTTTTTTTTTACTGTCTGCCCTGCGTCACTCCCAGTCATCCTGAGGGAGAGGAGCCTGCGAGGTTGGACCAGTGTCAAGGTAGACAGGGTGAGGAAGAGGACTTCTGGATAGTGCTTTCAAAATAAGAGGTTACGTTTATAAGGATATTGATTTTTATTTTTTCATTCATAAGATTTCAAGCTCAAGATGAATTTATAAGAAGACATAGGCTGCTATTTTGACGTGTGTGCTAATAAAAAAGGTAGGCTAAACATATAATCACTTTTTTTAAACACTCAGTTTGCTAATAAAGGAAGAAGCCTATTAGTCACTCTCATATATGAATACTTGGGCTAATCTATAATAATTTAATTTGATATGTTTTTTTTTGTATTTGTCAGATAGGAATCCTACTTTCTGTGGCCCAGGTAGTATAATCCACTCGCTTTCAAATAATACATTACACAAGATGTTAGTCGGAATGTAAACAATGCAGCCACTGAAGGGAAATATTGACCGGAAGTCCTTTAGTTGAGTTCTGTCTTTGTTTTTCTCTTGTGTTATGGCTGTACAAAAGCAGGAAGTTTCAGTAGGGTCGTTAGCCCTCAAATAAAAAGCCTTGAAAGAAGCGACAAACTTCAATATTTGAAGCTGGTTTCAGCTTTGAACTTCCGGTGTTGTCCGCCCTGTGTGTGTCTCACTTGACGCAGCTGTGTGTGGGATGTTTTGCTGCTGATGAGAGCAGGGTGACAGGGGCGTCGCTCACTGTCAGACATGAGCCTGCAGTTGACTCCACGGGGGGGCAGGTTGTTGATGTGATATTGCATCCTGGTGAGTTCAATAAACCTGCAGTGGCACCCACACTGTTTGACTTTAGCTGACACGGGGTGTGACATTTGATTTTCTAGCAGAGTCAAAACAGGTTTGTCAGTAATACGCCATCTGTTGGTGACACAAAGGGCCAATGATTAAAACAGAGCCCTGGGGAGTCTGACAGTCCCAGACCCCCACTGCAGTCTGTGGTGACGAGGTTCACAGTGGACACTGATAAACATCACTGTTTGCATGTCTTACATAAAAAAGTAGAAGAACACCTGGTTTGGAGGTGCTAACTCTTCATTTACCGATAACCAGCGTGTAGACACATTTTTTTAGGCTGTACACAATTTCCTCTTAGTTCTGCTGTTTCTATAAGGTGATGAAACAGTCCAGCAGAGCAACATAATATTTATGTTCCAATTTGCATGTTTTTATGGATTGCAGGATAAGCGTTTTAAATGAAATGTGCGATGACCTTATTGACTGACTGATTTATTGATTCTCACTTAATCCTGCCTCTTCAGTTTCAGCCCAAATGTTCTCAGTCCTATATGCATCAACACTGCTGGAAACATCTAAACTCAAAGATAACCAAAAAAAAAAGAATGACAACTGTTAACATTTTGCAACATATGATAAGTAGAATCATTACAGGACCCATGTTTTATGTGCCTTACAGTTTAAAAGCTACAAGATACCAGGGTTGGCATTTATTCAATATGTTCGAAAATGTTCTTTGTTTGAAGAACAAAAAAACCTAACCAATTAATATCAGAGGACGGATCATGTTTCAGAGTAATGGTTCATTGTTTTACACCAATTTAGAGATCCAGCTGCACCATTTCAATTTCTCCTGTGGGACTATGTTAAACCTCACAATAAGACAATACACAAATGTAACACTTAAAACACTTAAAAACACCTTAACCAAGCCATACAAATGGATTCATTAACAGACAAACTAAATGATTAAACAAAGATCAACTCAAAACTAATGGAACTAAACACACAACCCCTTGGTTGAGCAGCACAGCAGTCCCCACTCCAAATGTCTCTCTCTGCTGAAGCCAGCACTGTCCTTTTAAACACTGATGCCAAGTGTACCTTGTTAGGTAATCAGAAGTTTCACCTGGGCAGAGCAGAGAGCAACAGGAACAGCAGAGGGAAACATACAGCCGTAACAACTATGACATTTATCACTGTGTAAAGTGCTGGTTGTAAAAAGGTTCTATTTCCAGTGTATTTAAACAAAATACACCTACACCCACCCACACCAATACTTAAGAATAAAGAGATGGACATTCAAATAACAAACATGTTGCTTCATGCCTCCTCTTTGTTTAAGCAAGATGAGCCATGAAAATTATAATAAATATAGAAGAAAAGTCTGTGGGGGGATTCTAAGTTGCAGATTCAGAAATGTAAAGCCAGACTGTTTAACTGCAGAGAATCTGTCTGTGAGCAAACATGTTTTTCCACTTGGTTATGTCATGAACAGCACTTCAGTATTTCAGATTATTTGTGATGCATTTTCATAGGCAGTACATCTTTTCACAGCATGCCATTACAGTGCATGACCTAGAGGGGGCACTGTTGAGCCAATATTGTATTTTACACAACACTTTTCATTTATTTATTCACAGCAAGACCTTCAAGTGTACAGCTTTTTCTCATTTTCAAAAGTTCTTTATCAACTTTTATTACACTGCAAGGACGAAATTTACCATTAAATATGTAATTGAATAGAACTACCTTATATTTACCAAATATTATTTTTGTTTACTAAGTACTCTAATGTGCAAAACCAAATCATATATAAGTGATTAATGTGTTAAAAAATGATTAACACAATCTATTTTCTTTATTCAGATGTACCTGTGCTAAATAGTGTCTGAGTGCTGGCCTCCAGAGACTTTCTACCTGTGTCCAAACTCCTCAGCGTTCTCATGGCAGCGGCATTTCCAGGACTTAAGAGTCTTTGTCTGGCCATCAACAAAAGCCTTTGGATTACTGGTAAGGCAGGCTCACAGTGCAGCTGCGTGCGTGTACGGGCAGGTCAGAGGAATGACTGGAGCTCCGGTGGGCTAAGAGCTCGAAAAAATGCTGTTTGGTGAGATTGCTGATTAGGTGGGAAGGAAGGGAGGGAGGGGGGGGGCAGGTGCTGGATCATGGAGGGAAACAAAAGGCACACTTTACTTGCTTCAAGGGTATGCATCAAGAGTTGTGTAAAATATAACAAGATGATGTATGACCCCAAATCTGAAAAAAAAAAACAGCAAAACAAAAACAAGGCTCTCTTACTTATTTGGGATTGGTGGTTCTTTAATATTAAGCAACTCCACTTTCTACCTTTTAGACACTTTCCTCTGAGCTCATCCCTCTAGGACAATAACAACACTGACAGAATGAGGCTTCTTGATTGGCCCAGACAGCAGCCAACCAGAAGACAAGGACTTAGTCACAAGGAAGTGACTTCACCTATCTGCACTCACCTGATCCTTTACCTGGCCGAGCTCAGACGCAGCATCTCATTACCTTTCCATTACAATCCATAACTGAAGCTCACTGTGTGTCAGTACCTGCAGTCAAGGTGTTTCTGTGTGTTTGGCTTCACAAAGACAAAGAAAAGAAGACATGGCAGTCGCTAACTTCCACTACATCACCCGCATGAGCAGTGGCTTCAAGGTGTACATTTTAGAAGGTAAGGTTGATTTTTGCTATTCTTTGAAATGTACTTAATAGCCGCATGCTGTTCAAAGAGAGTGGATCCTTGAGTTACCTTGATCAGAAATATGAAATGTCATCATATTGCTTTAATAGACACTTTACATGTAATGCCTTAACTTATATCTGTGTACATCAAAGTATAATTTCTCTCTCTTAATGCATTACTTTAAGTGGAAATTTAAATGGAAAGAACCACGAGCTGTTACAACAGTCTCAAAAGCTTTAAACACTTTCAACTCCTTAAATAGACTAGTAAATTAATATGTGTAGCTTTTAATCACAGAGAAAGGCAACAACATATTGTTTTAAAGGAAATGTACTTTTGATAAAAAAGTTAAAGTCTTCTTATTTATGATTATTGGGTTGAAAGGTCCTTAAATGGATGTAATATTCTGTAAATTGTGCTTGAAACAATGCAGTGTGTCTGTTCCACATTCATGATAATGATTAAAGGCAGGGACACAGAAGGTCAGGCAGAATATTCCCGCTGATATCGAGGGAGAAATACCAATGCCTCAGGCATTAGAAAATCAGTATAGGTGTGGTTATGCCTGCCCCCTCCCTCCCCTCCACAATGGCACTCTGTGTGGAGGAGCCGCTCGCAGGTGTCGGAGTGTTCAGACACTAGGAAATGTGTAATGGGTGAGCACTCAGGGTGTGAATTCAACAAGAAATCTTTTGTTTTTTTGGAAACAATGGATCTCTTCCACTGTTTCATTTCAATGACAGTAGATGTTTATGTGACTCCTTTAAAGCACTGAATGACACATTTGAATACAGTTAAAGGAGCTCTGAAAATACAATCAATGTGGATTGTAAGTGCTAACTGAGCATACAGTCAAACAATGGGTTGGTATAATTATGCTGCCATCACATGTTAAACAATGCTTTTTGTTTTTGTCTGTCTTGGACATGTGTGCTAACTGATGCACAACACCCAAGATCAAGTGGATTTAAGATGTAATAAGTGCCTTTTTAAAACCCCTTAAAATCCCTTTATGGGTTCAACTGACAATCTGATTATAAAGTGAAATTTTCTCACACTCTGACATAATTCTTTTTTGTCGATGTGTTTCAATTTAGTGTTGCAAGAATCCAGTGTGTGTTCTCCTTAATGGCCCGTTCCAATAATGGGCTCCACCCAAATCAGGGTCCTTGAACTCTTAAAGCAGTGTAATGTATGTCACTCATCCATGACAATGAGCTGTTGATTGTGCCCTGTTCACCGTGTGACGCGGCTGAATGCCAAACAGCATGCAGAAAAACAAAATTTACCGTTAGCATTGAATCAGCTGTGTCTTGTTGTAAGCCTCACTGATCAGGTAGATCGAGTTCAACGAGTTAACGGAGTCTACAATTAACGGTGACAAAAAAGAAAAAAAATATATTTTCCCACGAATTGCTGTCATGCAGGTCGATGTCACGGATCAAAACAAGAGTGAGTCATCACATGGTGACACAAACTACTATCAACGTAGTAAAATCATCAATGCCAGTAAATGACTGAATCGTCGATCTGGATTTCTTGTTCCCGCAGATGAGCAAAGCAAAGTCAGTTGTGCAATCATTGACAAGCCTTTCATTTAATTCTGCACTTTTGTTTTCTTATTCAGGTCAGCCTCACCTCAGAAGTGAAGACAGATACAGACACATCACAAACGACCGCGCTCGAGCCCCAGCCGTGTATCCAATCAAACGCAAGCGCAGCCACGAGAGAGGCCTGACACTGGAGGAAAGGTTTGTGAAAACGACTTCCAGTCATTATTCAGCATGACAAATGTTCTACATCCAAAGAGAGATCAAGGAGATTTGACATTGTCCAATATTTGATTGTTTAAGGCGAGAGCGGGTGCTGAGCAGAAGTGTTGGTAAAGCCGCCCAAAGAGCAGCACCAGCACCAGCCATCTTTAACAAGCCACAAAGCCCCACATCCACCTGGAGTCCAACCCCCAGCCCCACCAGCCCTCTGCCCTCCCATGTGTACTACACACCAGTCATGGATGAACCACTCGCCCTCATCAAGAAACCAAGAAAAGATCCAGAGAGCACAGAGGAGAAGGCTAAGAGTCCTGCAAACACTCAAATCCAGGTAATTCACCCAAAACTCTCCAATGTACCGAAAAAATGATAGATATTTGGGCCTCCATAATTTGTGTCAGTGACAGGACTGTATGTCCCTTTGTAATCTCTGTAGTATAGCTTCAGGCTACCCACAGCAGTGGTACATCTCCCATCTGGAGTCAGAGTGTCAACAGGCCTAAGCTTGTCCCAGCTATGCAATCCAGCCAGATTCAGGGAGAAAATGTGAGCGATGGAGGGAGGAATGTCATCAACAAGACCAAACAGACTGTTTTTCTCTTTGACCTGCACATGCTACCTCTCTGGGAGGGATCTGTTTTTTCCATGGGCAAACCCAACCTGTTCCATTGGTTTTTGAACTATGTTTTTTTTTCTGATGAGATGAAGTGGACAGTCAGGTTCAGGAGGTGTTTAACACTGAGATGGAAAGCGAAAGACACCCATGTTTTTTTGTGTTGTAAATGCAGCAATGTTTTTTTTATGTCTTAAATAGCAACCCATTCTTGTTTTTTCAGATGCGTCCCTCTGTGATCACTTGCGTCTCCTCATCAAGAAATCCCTCCTGCAGGTCTGATATCCACAGGGACCCCTCATCAGGTCAGTCTGACACTTTGTGAAGTAGCTGATCCATCAGACGGTCACTCCCTGATTGTCATTCATGTATCATAATGAATCTATCCTGCTCACTTTTACTGACTCACTGAGGTGTGTTTCTAAACAGTGTCCTTCATGCTTTCTCTTCTAGTGATTTCAAAGTCAAACTATGACCACGTGGTCGAGGAACATTTCCAGAGAAGTCTTGGAGTGAACTACCAGAAAGCCGCTCGCTCCCAGCAGCTCTCAATCAGCGTTTCAGTCGACGACCACTTTGCCAAGGCGCTCGGAGACAAGTGGCTGCAGATCAAGTCCAAGTCCTCCTCCTGCTCCTCCACACCTCCCAGCAGCCCGAGTGTTACTCACTCTCCCACCTACAAAGAGTGCACTAGCAGCACATCACCAACCTCCAGCCACTGGTCTGTCAACTAGAACAGAATCTTTGAGAAGAAAGTGGACTTTGTGAATTGAAACATTTCACTGCGTGCAGCTCTGCTTGTTGGTCAAGAGAAAAGCCAGCGCTAGTATGGAGAGGGCGAGCTTTCAGATGCTGGAGTGCTGTCACTTTGGACCGCCGTGTGTCAAAGTTTGAGACATATTGATGCAGACTGTAATGTAGCACCAATCAAGACGTCCTTGTTTGTTACATTTCTCTCCTTATTGCTTGTGGATAGCATCAGAATAATGAGATTCTGTAGTTGGTGACGTGGGATGGTTGAAAAATCATCAGTAATCCTTTACATTTCTTCGGTGTGTCATTCTTAAGTGACACAACTTTACTGTATTATATTTATGTTCTGATACACCTGGGTTCCTTACAGTCTAAATGACTTGCCTATCTGCTGTATAAAATATGCTTATAAGCTGTACACAAAACAAAGACTTTTAAAAAAAGACTTTTAAAAATAAAAACGTCAAAAAAACATGAAATGTTTTGTGTGTTTGTTAGTAAGACTTGATTTGCATTTTGACATCTGTTGGGCAACAAGTTAAAACAAAAACTAAATTTTTTTCCTCAGAAAAAGATGCTAAGGAAGTAACAGAAAATGATCAAACTTCTTTAAAACTCAAATGTCAAAAATGCACGTACAGACAGTAAAAAGTGGACAGGGTGGTGCACCAGACAACCTAATTTCACAGGTGAGTCAGTTTGTGTCTGCAGCACGTCCGGTGCACACATAGCATTTTACATGTAGACCTGTTGCCACACACTGAGTGGAAATTAAATGGATGTATGAGCAACACATTTGGGGCTTTTTTTTCTTTCCTGTAAGTCAGGGGAATGCAGGATGCATGTTGGAGCAGGCAGTAGGCCTTGTGTTCTGACATTCCTGTCTCCTGAGAAAATGACTCTGTAAGATCCTACAGATCCTGTTTGGCGAGGCACAGGAGGGAGGGAAGAGGGGAAAGCAGGGTTGGGCTCACATAGGCCTGAGCATGAGAACCAGCAGAGCTCTTCGGTTACTTATTTGCATGTCCTATCTTGTCCAACCTTAAATATGATAAACAACACTGGAGAGAAGTCCTAAGCTTCTGTCTTTGAAAGTACAGAGTTGGTCATTTTAATGTAAGTTGGGAAAAAGCATTTATTTTCTGACAAGATGAAAACCATGGGAAGGAGTTGTATATGAGGGTGGAAAAGATGAGAAAAAGCCATCTGAATGAGTTTTTTTCACACTGAAATGGTTGGAGTAAACCATAAACATAAATGTGAAGTCTTAAATATTAGTGGCAAAAAATCGAATCTGCAAATTATACCGGCAACACATAAGATATATGAGAACAAACGCAGGAGCAAATTGTGATCTAACTACTTTTTAATACTTCTCATTTACTGTCTAAACTGGTATTTCCACATGGAGCATGATTCATCAGTCGATGTAACCTGAACAGGGGCATTGATGCCACCTAGAGGCCCTGAGGTTTAAATCTTTAAAACAGGCAACACTGTCAAAGACAAAAGAGTTCATGTTACATGATGAGCTGCAAAAAAAAACAGATCAAAACAAAACGGGTGAACTGGTTGTTGGGTGAGCGAGCTCGCCTGACAAAATGACCTTTAGAAATGAAAGACAGATGGAAAGTGAGAATAAATACATTGCTTAGTTCACCACTAGAGGGCGACTTGGTGACAGGTGTGTAAAACTGCATCATGCTTCATTCATAAAATGTCAATCCACTTAATATGCTCTAACAATCATTAATTGTTTTATTCATTGATAATATGCAGTGTTGACATTATTCTTTGGTAAGTGAGTCTGTTAGCAATTATTTTGTTTATTCTAGTTAGAAGGTTCTTTGGTTTAATTACAGGCTATATTATAAACACATATATCTTTGACTAGATATAATGAGATACATAGGTACATTCAAGTGTGCTGGACAAAATGATTTAGTATGTTTAGATACTTGGCAGGCTGAAAGATAAAAAATGACTAGATCATGAGAATGTAAAGAGAAACACTTCTCAAGCAGCTGCACAAATGCACATTATTACTTCAGGCAACAATAAAAGATAATTACAATCCTGAATAACGCCAACATGACAGAAAACATCATTTAACTGAATTTGACTGAAGCAGTAGTAATTAAGTTTTCCACTAAAGTACAGATGATTGGTTGAGTTCTTGGGAAAGTTCTTTCTCTTTGTTTTGTCAGTCAGAAGTTTGATCACTGTCAACAGAGCAGGACGCATTTAGTAAATAATCCAAATGACATCTCTAAGCTCATGAGAACATGATTGTTCTGAATGACTGTTGTGGAGCAGCATGATTCATTGTCAAGCTTTGTGTTCAACTACTCGGTATTTAAACGAGCATGGGCAGCTATCTTATTGTTTGACTACTGATTGTTCACTTTCAGAAAGCTGGGTGTTTCCCAATCCCAAACTTATGGCTGATGTTTAATGATTTGAAAAAGAAAAGCCTTTTGATTTAGCATTATGCTAATACATGTGCTTTATTGCTTTAATACAGATGTGTTTCATAAAATCATAGACAAAACACAAAGATTGCTCTCAAACATCAGAAAGAAGTTATTTAAGTGACTTGTTATAAAAAAAAGCAACTTTTCCATGGGGTCAAAACAATTCTCACAAGGAGCGCCGATAGCATAGTGGTTATGTCGCACAGCGCATGTGAGGCTATAGTCTTTGTTGCAGAGGCTTTGAATCTAACCTCCTCCCTTTGGTGCATGTCATCTCTTACTCTCTCTTCAGTCCTGTCCAATGAAGGCAAAAGGGCCCACTAACAACTTTTTAAAAATTGCTCTCAAATGTCAGGCTGAAGTTATTTAATTGACTTATACTATAAAACCAAATTAACTTTTCCAGGGGGTCAAAACAGTACTCTGGTATTTGAGTAAATAGAGCAGTATTGTAGTTTAAAAAAAATCTTACTTAAAACAAAAGGACATATGTTTTGGAATCAAAAGTCACCTACATGTTTAATGGTAAACATATTCAAAAAGCATGACTTTGGTGTTTATTTAGCAGCCCCCTGTGGACGAAGTGGGACAATCACCTCTTTGCTAATCTTGACCAGTACATGTAAGTAGAGCGTTCTGAGAGAAAAAGGAACCTACTCTATTTTAAATGACCATAAGCTATTCTGAAAATATTAAATTAAATTAAATTAATTAAATATAAAGAGGCCTGAACACTTTTGATTATTGAAATTTTGTAGGATTGAACTTGTTGAGATTTTGTGAATATGTTGAAAACAATAAATAAATAAGTCTATAAATAGTCATAACACCCGTAACATCATTCATCACTAGACGAATACAAAAGTTAATATTGCTAACTATGGCTTTAGTTGACTAGTTAAAATGTCACAGAATGTGCTCTTTTCTGACTTTTGTACATCTAAGGACCATAATATAAGCTCATATATAGTACATGTTAATCGGGGGGGGGGGGGGGATATTTTCCACACACCACATTTCTTTCAGCAGAGCTTTGATTCACTGCCGTTCACTTGTCACATGGTTTGGAGAGGTCACAGTTTTCCACACAGGTAGCATATGTGGGGTTGACTTGTCGGAACTCATCAGCAGATTTGGAGGCAGTGTAGCAGCTCGGAAAATAGCCCAAATATGCTGAAGTTTCTCATTTTAGTAACTGATTATCTTAAATGACAAGTTGCTCAGTAACAGTGTCTGTCATGGTTGTTTCAGTTCTGCTAAGCAACAGTTGTTCAGGTGGTTATCCATAGCATAAACTTAAAGTTAGTGGGATGATAAGGTATTATTTTAATGTTTGATAATCCTACACCCAGAAAAAAAAGATAGACAGAGATTTAACTAACTCTTACCTGCAGGATGAGAAATGCAGAGACGGTCCTATTTATTTACAATCTCAATATGCATCGATATAAAGTTTGTCCAGCAGGTGGCACCAGAGTAGAGGTCATGCTGTTCACTGAAAGATCACACGTGGACGATTCAGCACCTATTTTCTCCTCACTGATAGATTTTCTTTTCTTTTTTTTCGTCCTCTTAATGATTTAAACCACACAACGAATTCCAGAGAATTATGGGAATATTACTGGGGTTTTAGGAAAACAATTAACCCCGATTACTGTCAACAGAATGTAGCCTTAAATACTTTAATCGTTTTTCTTCAGGCACAAGGTGAAGATATATTTAGGCAAAACAAAAGACATTTGTGTCTCTCCATGGGGGTTTGGGGGAATTTTTGAGGATCAAAGGGACATCATCATTGAAAACTGTAATTTTTCCCCTCTGTCTACAAACACGTTAAACATTAGCTTTTAGGCAGCAGTGGTCTCATGACCGGCTGTGAAGGCGTGTACTCTCTCAGCCCATTATATAAACCAACCTCCATCAGGAGCATTTGAAGTGTCTGCAGCACTAACAATTTCCTCCGAGATAGAATAAAGTTTTCCCTGACTGGTTCCCCACCTGTTAACCAGACAGAGAAGTGGACCCCAAACACTGACAGCTTCACTTCGGTTCCACCTGTAAGTAGAATCATTTTACTCTATTATCGCTCTCTCTCTCTCTCTCTCTCTCTCTCTCTCTCTCTTGTTCTTTCGTCCTTTTTTTTCTGCTCTGTCACTCTATTCGAGTTATGCAAGGGCAGCTAAACAGATTAACATACCGCTATTTTCCATGTTCACGGTGAGTTTGTGGGAAATGACTGACTGCTGTCTACCCTGAACAGTCCAATTATTAAGTTCTGAGCGGATTTATTATCATGGCATTACGATGAATTGGGCTGCTTTAACTGTCCCGTTGTTATGCAGGATAGACCGCCAGCTTCGTGTTTAAAATAAATTGTTTCCCGATACGTAAGTCGTCAAAATTGAATGAAATAAATTGATTTCGTCCCGTTTCAGTATTCGCTGTTACTGGTCCAACATTTTAGAAAATCCTATTAAAACGCCACAGATTAAAAAAAAAAAAAAACATTTAAAGTGCTTTAAAAAAAAATGTGTTTAAAATCACTGCTGTAGCGTCTGCAGCATATTCCCAGCATGTGTCTAAGGACATGATCATTTTACATGGTACACCTATAGTGGTCTGAGTCTTTCTCTCGTTTAAGTTGTGAAATGAAATCCACCCTCAGCCTAATTTAAAGCGACGTTATTGAATTCTGACTGACACTGACTGTGACTGTAAGATGAACTCAGCTCTTCACAGCCTCCTGTTTAGACTCTATAGGTTACACAGATAACTCAACAGTAATTCTGATCTCTGGGCAAAACCATAATGTGGCTTACCCCACTAATGACTTTTAAGTGATATAAAACACTTCATCATAACCACTTCCCTCTGCCACGAACACTGCTGTAAATCACAGCCAGTTACATATGTTTTGTTAATATGTAACTTTTCTTTGTCTTTGTTTATGAGCCAATAAATAAGAAGCATTAACCACCACCTTCTGTGTTTTGGCAGTGTGTATCATCATCAGTGCTCACCGTCACCATGGATGTCTCCTCTGGCTCTATATGCTGTCATTCTATGATGAAGGCTACAGACAAACCTTACATACTTAGCTCACAATGTGATTCTATTTTTCCCTTTAGCACTTTAAACTGAACCAACGAGGTTATCTCATAAGTTTTAGTATACATTTATTTATATGCACATATTACCTCAAATCTTATTGTAAAACCTCAGTCAGTTGGCTTGATTTTTTTATTTTTTTGCTGATTAAATTGAAAAGTAAGTAATAATGGAAACAACAACACTAGCATCGCTGGCTGCTGCCACCACAGTGGCTCTGGCCTATCAGGCTGACATGTCAGGATACTTGTGGCTGCTGGTCGTCGGCTTCATCATCGCCTTCATCCTGGCTTTCTCCGTGGGGGCCAACGATGTGGCCAACTCCTTTGGTACGGCAGTGGGCTCCGGTGTGGTCACCATGCGTCAGGCCTGCATCCTGGCCTCCATCTTTGAGACGGTTGGCTCAGTGCTGCTGGGGGCAAAGGTCAGCGAGACCATCCGACAGGGGATAATTGACGTCCGGATGTACAACGGTTCTGAACACGTCCTGATGGCGGGATCTATAAGTGCAATGTGGGGTAAGAGCTAACAACAGTTAGATGGATATTGCTTTTTAATCTGAATTTTAAAAATGAAGGTTCATAGGATGTTTGATGTCAGATTATGAGAGCAGGCCATGTTCATGTTTTTGTCCTGTAGGCTCAGCTGTGTGGCAGCTGGTTGCGTCATTCCTGAAGCTTCCCATTTCTGGAACTCACTGCATTGTGGGGGCCACAATTGGCTTTTCCATGGTAGCCAAGGGTCATCAAGGGGTCAAATGGATAGAGATACTGCGCATTGGTGAATATATGTTGTTATTTCCGAGCATCTTAAACCAAAGTGTGCAAAATCTAAAACACAAGTGAAGGAGAACGTTTTTTAATCCCTCCTCTTTTGCAAATGTATTTCCTAAAGTGGCTTCCTGGTTCCTGTCACCTCTGCTGTCAGGCATCATGTCAGGAATCCTCTTCTATTTTGTTCGCAAATTCATTCTGAACAAGGTGAGCCTAATTCACCTACCAGTGTACGAAGTCGGTTCAAAATCGTATTGAGAAGTCTGTGACGAGCCTTTACATGAGTTAAAAGAGCAGTATCATGATATAGATGGACCACATACTGAGGAAATTATTGAAAACTAAGCAACTCAAATCAGTGTTGAGAAACAGTATTTAGAAGTGTTTCCAAAGCAAAGGGTCACTTGAAAGGGTCATGAGGTTAATCTAAAGGGTCCTTGGGTAAAGTAACTTAAGGAGATTACGTCCTGCTACACTGATCAGTGGATTTTTTTTTTTTTTTTTTTTGTGTGATATTGGGAAACATGAGTCCCTGGGGCTTCAACAAGTTCATTTCCTGAAACCACCAAATCTGAGAAGTTTAGATAAAAGTGACAAGAAGCCCCAGCTAGACACTTTCTTTATGAGGCGTTTCATGCCACAAAGGTAGACAACCACAGGTTTCATTTTTTCATATAATGGTTGTTTTTTTCTACAGGATAGTATTGTCTGAAGCAGTTATTAACTGCAGCTGCCAATAAGAATAGAAGACTTAAAAGTAATAAAAGTGATTAAATGTTACACTGCCCTCTACAGGCGGACCCAGTACCCAATGGCCTCCGAGCTCTCCCAGTCTTCTACGCCATCACGATGGGCATCAACCTCTTCTCCATCATGTTCACAGGAGCACCATGTGAGTAACACTGACATACATTACGCACATGCTTCTTTTTCAATTTTCACTAACCACACAACTCCCTGGAGTGAGCTGAGATCTGAGTAAATGTCACCAGAGGCATGAAGAAGAGTTGATGAACTTTGTAGGAGTCTTTGTAGAACTAAATAGGTGACGAAAAAAAAAAAGAGACGGATTGTTGTGTTTATCGTCATTTTTTAGATCATTCATGAACCCAAAAGTGTGCCCAACCTGGCCTCTCTTCGAGAAAATCTTAACGTTTAAACGCTGTGTTGCCAGCTAGGACATGACTGCAGAGAGAAAAAAACACCTTACACAACAAAAAAGTAAAAACACGTGAGCAGGAATTTGAGAGGGATACAACTATTAAATAGAAAATGTCCACTCCTTTTTGTTTCATTGGCAGGATTTAACTTGTTGAGAAGTCATTTGGCCTGGGCGCTTCACTGAAGGCTGCAGGCCGGTGTGTGTGTGTGTGTGTGTGTGTGTGTGTGTGTGTGTGTGTGTGTGTGTGTGTGTGTGTGTGTGTGTGTGTGTGTGTGTGTGTGTGTGTGTGTGTGTGTGTTTGTGTGTGTGTGGGATAGTATGATATTAACACACCACATCTCCTGCTGTGCAAAATGACTGCTTAATGCAGCACTTCTGTGCACACCCCAAACCATAACTGCACACATTTTCCAGCCAACTTATTTTTCCCAACACGGAAAACCACATTTTATTTAGCCTGCTAAAAAAAAACAGCAACAAAATATTTACCAACATACTTTATGCAGTAAATGTATGTGGCTCCTATTACTTCTCAGAACATTATGATGATAATAGCTTTTATTGTGTGGCCTTTATTTGTTGGTTACCTCCTGTCGTCTACAATCGTATTCTTTAAGGTACTGCAACAGCAAGGTGTCAGTTTGTGTTTTTATTTCTGAAAAACTGAAAGTGAATTGTCTACAGCAGAGTGAACTCTAAATACATTATCATTTGGCTGCAAGACTGGTCTGGTTCTCACTATCTGTTCAGAGGAGTGTGTAGTGTTGCTGATACTGTTTTCTGTTGGAAAACTGAAACTCTAAAACAGTCTGTTGTGACATTTTGTATCATCTTATTTATTTCTGTTTTTTACAGAGTTTTTTGGGGGGTTTTCACAGAAAAAAAACCTGTAGGAAAAGTAGAAATGTTGTGAAAAGATACAAACATTCTTTCAAAAGAGAGAGATAAATAAATCCTCTTTTTGTCTAGGCACCACAAGGTTCCTGCTCCTAAAATGTCACAGCCATTATCATTTAGAAATGTTTATGATGGTATGTTGAAATGTTCAGGAAGGTATCATTATTTAAACTCTTTTTTCACCAATTTTTTGAAGGAGCATGGAATTAATAAAGATGCCATTACGTTTGTGTTTTTCTTAATCTGAGACTTGGTTCCCTCTTGTGTCTGTCCTGTGTGCACAGTGCTGGGCTTCGACAGAGTGCCATGGTGGGGAACACTGTGTATTTCTCTGGGATGTGCCCTAATAACAGCTTTGTTCGTTTGGTTCATTGTTTGTCCACGCCTGAAGAAGAAAATCAAACGTGAGTACACGTCAAACTTTTAACCATTTGAAGCATTCTTCTGTAGTTTGCATTTGTTTTCAACTTTTTCACTGTGCTGCTGGTTCCTCCCAATCAAAGTTGGCTAAGCATTTTGTAGTTTTTTTGCCCTAGTCGGCCACTATAGTTTTTGAATTGCACACAAGATAGTATGAAATCTCAGAACATGAATGAAAAGAGAGGGATTTTCAGTCAACAGCTTTGGGTAAAAACAAAGCGTTGCCTAAAAAGATCTGATCACTTTAATGTACTCCAGGAGGAACTACTCCTGCTCCCTGTGAGACCCCTCTAATGGAGAAGACCTCCAGTAAGCCTGCGCCTCCAGAGCAGCCCTCAATACCACAAGACCCCCCACCTCAGACTCCTGCTGTGGACAGTCAGAAGGTGGCTTTTAAACTCGGAGGCTCAGAAGAAACTGACTTGGACAACAATGACATGGAGACCAAAGATTTGGATATCAGCAATGGTGAGATTTTAAGCCTACATTTAGTTTTTAACTTGTATTTCTCAGAATTCATTAGACCCCATTAGTTATATTTGTGGAGGTAAAACAAAAGTCATTCTGATTTAGTTCACCAACTGCCTAACAATAAACATTACATTTTGTAGGACTGAACGGCACTTTTGGCCCCATGATGATCACTGATCCTCACAGTGGACGCTCCCACACCATCCACAAAGACTCCGGTCTGTACAAAGACCTGCTGCACAAGCTCCACATGGCTAAAGTAGGAGACTGCATTGGTGACAGTGATACAGAAGAGCGACCCATCAGGAGGAACAACAGCTACACCTCCTACACCATGGCAATCTATGGTATTCAGGGAGACCCTAAATACAAGGAGGTGGACGGTGGCGGGCTGCAGAGGAGATCCAGGGTGGACAGTTACAGCAGCTACAGCTCAGCGGTGACCGGGGGGAGTACGGTCCAGGACGGGTGTGTGACACAGGAAGCAGACAAGGATCTGCCTTCGGAGGAGGACGAGCTGGAGGTCGATCAGCCGGCTGTGTCTTTGCTTTTCCAGTTTCTGCAGATACTTACAGCTTGTTTTGGCTCTTTTGCTCATGGAGGGAACGATGTAAGGTAGGCAAGAGGGGTTTTCTCTGAGGATATTTATGTATGTGCTGTTCACTCAAAGAAATTTAACAAGTCATTTTTTCTTTATCTCTAGCAACGCGATTGGTCCACTTGTGGCTCTGTGGCTTCTGTATGACAGCGGCTCTGTCGTTTCCAATGCACCAACACCCATTTGGTTGCTTCTGTACGGCGGAGTAGGCATCTGTGCTGGACTCTGGGTGTGGGGAAGAAGAGTGATCCAGACCATGGGCAAAGACCTCACACCCATCACACCCTCCAGGTATTCTGCTTATTTAAATCATTAAAACGTTTGTATCCTAATCTTGCCTTAGTGAAAATGTAAACGGTCAAAGTGTATTAAAACATTTTTTTCCCAATTTAGTGGATTCAGCATTGAGCTAGCTTCAGCACTCACAGTTGTTGTGGCATCCAATATTGGCCTCCCTGTCAGCACAACTCACTGCAAGGTAATGGATCTCAAAATTTCATAGAAGGAAAATAAATATTAGATTTGTGCTGGTACTGAAACCACTTTCAGTATCGGCCTCCAATACGACAGAAGTGCAGCAGAAGGTATCGCTGAGAATACTAGTCCATGAACCAATCCAATAACATAACCGCAAATTATTCTCTTTATAGATTCTTCTTAAACATGTAGAATCTGCAAATCACAAGAAAATCTGCTTCTCTTTCGGGTTCACATTGCTAAAGTTAGCCAGAGTGAGGCCTCAGTGTAACTTACTATTTACAGTTAAACTGAGATTCAGATGAAACAGATGAACGGGCTCTCCGCGGGAGGAAGTAAACAACCAAGAAATTAGGGCGTTTATTTTGCAGAGATATCTGGAGAGATTCATTTACTTTCGCTCAGTTACTTCTTTACAGTAGTTACCAAGCTAACAAAAAGGTATTTAACCAGTGCTTTTCAACCTTTATTATGTTTTTTTAATCAAACAAGTATTGGAGGGATACATGAGAATTGGATTGAGGGAAGTAAAAAATCTTATCAGATTAAATCTAATACATAAGAATCTAAAGATGGTTCAGTGTAATGTGATGATATCTGTAGATTTATTTGATATTGTGTGATCACAGGTGGGATCGGTGGTGGCCGTGGGATGGCTGCGCTCCAGAAAATCTGTTGACTGGCTTCTGTTCAGGAACATCTTCATCGCCTGGTTTGTTACAGTCCCCATCTCCGGCCTGATCAGTGCGGCCATCATGGCCGTCTTCATTTATGTCATTCTGTGAGAGTCCAACTGTGCAGCTACACTGTTACATTGACTGAAAGACTGCTGGCAACCGCTAATGATGGCTGACGAGTGAAACTGTGCTAATAAACATGCTCCCTTTGGTGATAGTAAATGGTGTTTATTATATCACTCACTGTCAGCTCGAGGTCAAACAAAGATGACATTTTAATGGTGGAGTGTCATTCATTGTTAAATATCCTCAAGTCTGTGATCCTGTATATCACACTGTACATTTGTATAAAAGCAATGATCTGTTGAAAATCAAAACATTAATTTGTATAAAAAACTTCAATGTTTGAATTTTTTGATGTAAAAAAAATATGTATGAAACAAAAGAATTAAAATGTATTTTACTCACTATTTACATGTTTCACTTGTTTCACTTGTTTTTATTTACAGGGTAGGATAATAATAACGCTATTATTTTATATATATTAAATATTTATTTATATAGCACCTTTAAAAACAGATGTTCACAAAGTGCTTCGATAGACAAAGTAAAGGCATAAGCTCAAGAACAGACAGACATCAACAGTCAAACAGAGTACAAAAGTCATATCAACGCTAATAACTGGAGTAAAAAAAGATACAGCAGGCAGGTCTCTAACGGCAGTTAAAGCTACAAAGCAATACAATTTAGGAAGATTAAATAAAAGATAAAATATTAATTGGTTAAAAAATACACCAACATGAGTCGTTTTGTGAAGATGCTGATTACACACTACGCTGATTTGCCAACATCAACACATTGTTTACTAATTTCCTTTCCCCAAGTATATATGTAAGGTTTGATTCTATCTCCACTTCTTTTATAACTTAGACCTTTACTTTTGTATATTATATATTTGTTTTCACTTTAATCAGCTTTTTTAAGCTATACAAAAATAATAAAATCATGTCTTTGTGAATTTGGAAAAGAACATTACAAAAAATCCACAATAACATTGTTTTCACAAACCCCTGTTGAAGTTTACTAAAAGCCCACTAGATGGCGCTGTTGTCGTAGCTGCCCTCACAGCCTTAGCTATATTTTTTCCTCAGCCCAGACACACTTCCTCCCTCTCCAGCAAACAAACACCAGTGTAAGGAAGGACCGTGTTTACAGCAGTGTAATACTCATTAATACAAGATCGTTTATTAACCATTGTAAATGTAATCTTTCTGTTTGTAATTATTTAAGTGCTATTTTAGATTAGGGACTGGAAATAGTTTTCACTCACTGTGTGTTGTTTAGAATATCTCAGAGGCTCGATTATAGATTTTGATAAAAGTCGAACAGCTCCAGATTTTTGACTTCTGATTTTCCTGAATACATTTGTTGAGTCAATTCTTTAATTCTCTGATATCCCAAAAATAATAAAAAATAAAAATAAATCCCCAGATATCCAAAATGTAATTTGAATATCCTGAATATCTTTGACTACAAGTTTTACTAGTTTGACTACAGCTCTGACTAGGAGAAACGTTCAAATGACTTGCCATACACTCAAGCTAGTTTGAAGAGAGTGTCCTTGAAGAGCTGCAAAAGGCCACGTGATGGTGCTGTTCTCCAGATAATTAATGCCATTGGTTGTGTTTGAAGTAGAATATTCTTAATCAATGTCATATGTAAAGTAAAGTATTTTTTTCTCTTAGATTTTGCTTGTAAATGATTATACAGTAAAGCTTATGAGTAGCCTATCTTATAAAAACAAATTAAACACTGCTCATATTTTTGATTGCATTTCTCTACTATTTTCATAACTTGTATTATTCACTCCTCCAGGTCAAGTTATCAACATTACACTCTTATAAACAATTCATCTTTGAATCTTAACCCCTACCAATAAATTTGGACTGGGACAGAGGATCACATTCAAGACTTTTCATTCATTTTTTTCCTGATTGACAAATGGCTTCAAAGTAATTGGTAGATAGGCCCAGAAACATGTCTCTTCTAAGGAGCCCCTTTGCATCAAAATGATTGCAAAGAAATACTACCTGTTGCAAGAAGAACATTTTGCCAGCAGATAATGCTGTTGTCCCATATAGCAGGATGTTACATCAGTCACAGTTGGCTTAAATACACAGTCCTGTCAGTGAAATGATTGTGAAATGTTCTCCTTTTGTATCATCAGTATTCCTATCACTTATCCTTGCAATCATCTATAAAAACTTGATTCAGATATTTTAAGTCAGTGTTCGTTTTGAACTTTTAACATGTATGTATGTAGACAAATATCGGATGAAAAATTAATTTAGAAGAAAAAACTACATAAAAACAAAGATGGTGAACATTTCTTTAGACAGCAAACATTGGTATTCAAGTTTCATGCGAAGAATTGCATTGCTGCTGAATCCAGTTTTTAATCTGCCCAAACTCAGCCCAATCTTGTATTAATATGGATTTTATTATGAAATCAGATGTGCTACCGGAAGTTGTGCATTGTTTATTTTGTGACACTTGACTATTTGGGGTGATTTTCATCGGTTAACTGTACAGGTGCGCCTGGACAATTGTGCGTAATTTGCTATGGGCAGCAATAGCGTGTTTACTGTGTGAATGCATGCTGTTTGGCGTTTTAGGAAGACATTTGCGTCTGAAAACGTGCAACTGGGGCATGCATTCACTTTAACACAGCGGACCAACAAGCTGCTGTAGTCTGTGGCAGATTCTCGGGAATAAAACGACGTATTGTTTTTTTTTTTTTTTCCTGCAATAACACTGGATTACTGGAGCTGCAAGAGGAGGCTCTGAAGACAGATTTGGGCTTTACGGATGAAGGGAAACATATGATCACAGACGTGAAACGACAGGTTTGTTTTCAGATTTGCAACTCGTTCTTTTCTTCAGATTTTCTGTCGGCGCTTGTGAGATGCAGCCTCTACCTGACAGATGTGTGGCACCACAACTGCAACCTACAGGTTTGTATCGACACAATGTAGGCTACTCGTGTGGGTTGTGCGTATCACGAAATGAAATGATAATTAGGCTACTACACTAGATCATTTTAATATCATTGCGATATCATTAAAGCAACAGCGACAGAGTCCCTTGCGTTTCATTCACTGAATCTAAAAAGCTTTCTATATGGAATATGTCTGATATTCTTTCTGCTGGGGTTATAATCTGGCTGTTACTGCACACGGTCTCTCCTCTCCCCATATCCGATGGCAATAACATTTATTTTGATGCTCAGAGGTGGCTCATACTGTTTTCTCACTGCACTTTAAGCAAACAGAATTGCCGAAAGGTTCAGGCGACTAATGGGACTCTGGCACAGAGCTGGATTGGTTATCACCTCCTCTGAGACAGTGTCTGAGTGAGGAGGAAAAAACTCATGGGAGAAATCACAGCATTTGTTTACCACTGTGTTTCTGCCTTATCTCTTGTCTTTTATACAGAGTTCCTGTCTACCTGCTGCTGATCCGCTGTGGAGGATTGAGACTGCTACAGCTGCACATTTTATCATCACTTTTATGATCAGCGTCTGCCACTTCAAACAGGACCAGACTAAAGAGGACAGTGGCTGCTTTTGGCTGATCATAGTGCCAGCAGTCACGGAGTACCTGTAGACCATGGCTCTGGCTGAGCTGCTCACTTGAAAGCAGCATGAGATAACTGAAGACTAACTTGCTAATTGCTGATTCAAGCTTTTCTCAGTTTGAAGCTAATGAACATGTTCCAGTGTGTCAGCTGACTGACAGGGCTGCAGTGCTGTTCGAGCCAGAGACAAGTACAGTCACCACACAGGAGATGGCTCGACCAGGATCAGGGTTGCTGGCGCCCGTCAATGGGCTGGGGTACCCGCCTCAGAACCTGGCCAGGGTGGTGGTCTGGGAGTGGCTGAACGAACACGGGCGATGGAGGCCCTACAGTGCAGCGGTTTGCCATCATATTGAGAACGTATTGAAAGGGGATGCCCGGGGGAGTGTTGTTCTGGGGCAGGTGGATGGACAGCTCTCCCCCTACGTCATCGACCTGCAGTCCATGCACCAGTTTCGACAGGACACAGGTAAGAGACGTGATTGTTTCCTGTTTATGGTGTCACAGCTGGTGTCACTGTAGATTTAAACACAACAGGTATCTGTACATGAAGTTGATTACCCAGTATTTCAAGCATATGAAATGCATATATTAATGAATAATTTTTTGCTGACCTCACCTCAAATGATGTCACTTTTGGACAGTTTCAAACTGAGTAGCCTCGATGCGGTTGCAGCAAAAATCTTATGTAATTTTCAGAGGAATAAATGAGAGTACCTGGATGTGCCGTCTGCTTTGGGACTCAGGCAAAAAAGCAACAGGTTGAGCTTAGAGGTGTTTCAACAAACAGGTCACAAAGCACAAAGATAAGAAAACTCAGGAGTCAGGAGTGTCTTTATGCGGCTGCTGGAATGCCATGACCTTGCCAAAGGTCGCCGTGTTCGAGGCGCCACGCATTCATCGGGCAGGTGACTGCTGAAGTTCAGTGTGATGCTGTACATGCTTTACAGCTTATTGTTTTGATGAAACGTGGCGTCATTCCTTTAAGAGAATGGGAATCACAATAGAGGTTGCTTTTGTACATTATGGGGAAGAAACAGTTCTACTAGGTCTTGTCTAATATTAACTCCACAGTATGGGAAAAAAATGTTGTTTGGAAAATTCTCATCAAATTTTCCTCAGTTTAATGTATTGTAAGGGTTCTGTAAAACAGCAGGGAATCGATTACCTATGACAAGAACATGCAAACAGTAGTATTGAAATAATATTAATACAAGTAGTATATATTGATATAGAGTAAAATCCACCCAGCAATCTTTGTTTGGTTGATTGTAATTCTCCCTTATGACGGCTGAGTTGACCAGATGTTTTTGCTGTACTCCAGCAAACCTCTGAACAAACTGTGTGTTTGTCTCTGTCTGTGGATTCACCTTCCTTCTGTTCCAGTGTTTGAAGCAGAGATATGGGGGAGGTTTCAGACATCTGTTTGAGGCAGCCTTGGACAAATCATCGGCTGCTTGATTTATTATTCACACCTGATTCAGCGACATATCACTGCTATTGAGTCACACAGAAAAAAACTTCTGATTGTGTTTTTTTTTTTGCATTGTGATTGTTGAGACAGGTCGTGTTTACTATAAAAACTATTTACAGAATCTTTGAATGTGTTATGTAACATTTGATCGTGAGATATACACAGAAGGTGACCTCAGTATGATGCATATCTTTTAAATAGTTAATAAACATTTGAAAACATATTTATGGATCGAGTCAACATTGTTCTTTATATTACAGAACAAATTGCAAAGGCTAGGTCAGTCACTGTCTGTAAAGTAAATGACAAATTCTGGACAAAACTGTCCATCTGTAATGGCATTTTACTCAAACTATAAATATACCCACAGCTGTAATACACTCCTAATTGTGTATGTGCTTTCTTGTTGCACTGGGCGTAGCAAACTAGCTCAAACTATAAACTATGTGGTATGTGGCTCTGGGCAACGCTATGTACTTTGTGAATAAATATAGCCTAAGCATTAACCCTAAATAAAGCAATGGAAAGACACAGTTGTTTTTTGAAGAAATCATATTTCAGTGTCATGTTCAATAGGCTATCCTGGAAAGCTCAAAAGTAGCTAAATGTCATCAGTGTTCCAGGTTGAATTCTGTGCATACACAGGGGAAATTTATTTGTTGTTGAATTGTTAATTGAATTGACTTCCAGATTGATTTAGCATTTTAAAAGACGATAAACTGCGAAAAATCTGGAGGGGATCAGGCAGTATTTCAAGTAAAATAAAACCTGTATTATCTGTTAGCAACTGTAACAGCTAACGTTAGCATTTAGTTACCGACTAGATAACCACCTTAGCTAGCAAGTCGCTAATAGCTAACAGTACTTGTTGAAAGTGTGACATGATACAATATGGAAGGCATAAATTCATAGCAAATGTAGTGTATGCTTTGGATTACAATTACAATTGGTCAAATGCTTGTTAGGCTACCTGTTGTTGACTAACAATAGGGTTATCAGATGTGTTGTTCTACTTAGAACGATGTACTGATGTCCCTCCAGATTTTCATTATTTATTGTCTTTTTGAGTTGCCATTTGAGGAGGGATGCAGATGAGGAAAATATCCTCCGTCTATGTCATGTATTTATGTTACAATAGCGGCTTCTTCAAATACAGAAATTGGCTCTTTTTGAGGTATGTTGATTATCCGAAAAAACGAATGTAGACGAAACAGGTCTTTCCCCCCAGTTGCTTCTATGTTACAGAGAAACCAAAAGCAGACGTGAAGGCATGAAAACAGCAGGAGATGAATATATTTTTTCCTAAGCCTTCAATGTAACGGCTGCAACCATTAATATATAGTACTCAATGTATTAGTTTTGTATTGAATTGAACATATTCTCTTGTGGATTGTCCACTGTGCACATGTGTCTGGGGTTGACTGGCTACGAGATGAGCCACTGAGCCGTTTGTCAGCCATTACCACGGCGCAGGGGCCAGGTCTGACGTTTATCGGTCCTCATTGTGCCGTTCGCTGTGTTACCTTCCCCCTTGACTGGAATAAACCTGTCACTGCAGGGCCTGACGGACAGCAGCCTGGTCGCCCACTGCCCTTTCTCCCTCCCTTTTTTCTCTTTCTCTGCACTCTCTGCTCCTGTCCCCAAACATGGCTAACCTCTGCCACACCACAGCAATGGATCTGAGCTCCCATGATGCTTAGTTTACAGTCTGTAGTGATGTTGCACTTCTGTTCGTCCAATGGGCCTTGTTTAGCTTCTTTAATTGCAGCATCTGACACATCTCTTTCACATCGGATGTTTGTTTTATTTGTTGCACATCAGGTCACCCACACCCACTTGCTCTGCAGGCTCATGGAGTGCCCCTGTGGGGAAACCCCATTTTGTCAAGAAGCCAGTGATCTTTTCTCCGAAAGCTATAGTATAAGCTATTGTGTTAAATATATATATAAAGGGCCTTGGTTAGCTTGTTTAAATGCAGAGTTTGATGTTTGATATATAAAAACGTTTGTGCGTGACTTTGCTGACAGCTGTTTTACTTGTGGCTTGGTGTCCTGTCCTTGCGGACTGTGTCGGGGGGCCATGCTCTCCTCTGGGTTTGGGAGGGGCTCCTGTGGGTGGGAAACAGGCCGAATAACTCCAACTAATGAGACAGCAGCCATAGTTAATCTCTGTGCCTCCCTTTAATCACTGCATCATGACGACAACACATGCACCACAGACTATGCAGCACGGCCCATCTCTGTAGGGAGCAGCATAAACACATCTGTATTTGGTTGGCAAATCAAAACACAAGGCATAGACTTTAATATACAACTACTACTGAAGAACCCCCATCCATGTTGAAATCCTGAACCCCTCTGCTGTATATATATATATACTATGACTGAAGGCTTAGAGGCTTATATATATAGTGTTTGGATGAATATCTGGCTGAAGGCAGGGAGAGGATTGGCTCCCAGCCAAGGTGGATTGATCCATTCCCCTCCCCAGAGGGGCTTTTGAACCTCTAAACACTGCTGTGGACTGATCCCCTTTCACTACACCCACTCCCATAGCAAAACACACGGGCTTATCTGCCATCTCCATCACTTACCAACACTTTTGGCCTGTCTGATGGATTTCACACTGCAGCTATTGCTTTTGCTGCTTGGCTTTTTAAGCATTTAACTCTATACTTTTCTGATGATGGATAGGATAGATGTAACCTCAGAAGAGTCACGACTTGAATATAATTCCTTATTGAAAACATATTTTGTTGGTTTCTGTTAAGATTTGTTGTCATATTACTGCAAGAGAAATGTCATTGTTAGCAAGTAGTTTCTTTAGTACAGACAAACGGTCAGATGGCACAACCAAAGCACACGAAAAAATACAACTAAAATTAAAAGTCTATACCACTTACTAAATTGACAAAATTGACAGTATTTTCAGATTGCCAAGGTAGTAGACTAAGATGAAGTTAATTCATTGATGTTATTTTGCTTCTGGTTTTACATTTTGCTAACTGTACTACAAAAATAAACAGTCTTTTTTTTACTGACCAATTGTGTTGGACCTCAAATCTAAATGGTATCCGTGTGGACATGTGAACACAACATTACTTCAGTACCAACAGATGCCCATGCAGTTAACCAACCAGGGGGGGTGATGGTATTAGCTGTTGCTTATAGTCCCTCTCCTCTTAAGCCCAGAGTCGGTGTGTTTCTTTGGAGTTTACAGAACTGTAGTGTTTTTTTTCCCCTGTCAACAACATGACCAAGGTAAAAGAGATGGCAGATCATAAGCAGCCCCCTAAAAAAATTTAACAAGCTAGGCTAAATAGCATCAATTTGAAATAACTTGCCATTGTCTAATTTAGAGAATTCAAACATGGCAACATGATCATGTAAAAACTGTTGAATTATCATCTGGAAAATGAAATATATTTTATCAATGAATTAAATGAGTAAAGTTGAAATTTTCATACATAAAAACTACATTTATTTTAAATTTAAAATCAAATAGACAGAATACAGTTTGCAATCAACGCCGTATCTCTCTTTGTGTGTCTGCTGTTGTTTGTGCCTTTACAGTTGTTCTGTGCTTGCTGTTGTGAAATGGCTCATGTGTGACTGCAGAGATAACCCCTATCAGCAGCTGTTGGCTGCTGTGTTGTCGGAGCAGGGCTTTGTTTGTTTTGGTTCCACAGGCGTGAGAACCTCCTCTCCACTGGCCGGTTTCCCTTGGCTAACCCTGACTAATTACTGTGAAAAACGTCAGAAGAGAAAGAAGAGTGTGTCGTGTTCTCATGTCTGTTGTGTGTGAAGCTGACAAACAAAACTCACTGTGGTTGTGGTCTGGATACCTGCCTATAACTCTGCAGCGCATGTATGCTGCAGATTGTTGAAGACGATGGAGCAATAGATTTCTGTTCTTTTGTGTTGTTTAGTATGTAGTAAATGTGTGTGGGAACTGTTTTGGTGGTCTGTGGGAGGAAACTGTAAAAATGAGTCTGC